AATGATCTAAATGCACATGCTGGCGCTGGTAAGGTACCCCCAGTGATATGTAACCCCACCCACACCCAGTCAATCACAACTCACTTAACGGAAGAAGGAATTTGGATGTTTGCCAAAGCAAACATCTTAGCCCAGATATCATCTATGAGGACACCTGAATATGGCAGGTCACAAAAGGTTCCCACTAAACCTGCTAAAACTTGAAGAGTTTTTCTAAACCTACATTTTGCAAACCTGGTGTGCAAAAGCTGTTGAGACTTGCCCAAAAACTCTGTTTTTACTTTATCCCTAGTTAGGTACATTCAGTGCCAAACTTCGATTTGTATTAGAAAAGAATAGCATTAGTAGTGTGAAAAAAACAAAAAAATCTGCTGATTAAACATATTTGATTCAGGTTTTAACACTGAATTTATGGTGTGATCAGTGACTTTTAAAGATGTAAGCAACAGACATTGTTTGTTGTTCTTTTGATGGGAATAAATGGTTTACATGATACTGACTTTAATCACAAAAACATGTACTACTGCATAACTAAATAGATAACTAAAGTCCACCATCCACATTCTGGAACACGTGTTTCAGTGTTTCCTGTTTATCAATAGGCTCTATGACAAAGAGGATTCCATTTTTGCTCGCTAAAATATTTCAAAAAGCAAACACTTTCCATTAGATCACTTTTTCACATGACTGTACCACAAGGTGACAAGTTATAGTAATCCGATTGCTCTAAATTGAAGAAAGTCAAGTCAGTTGACACCACACGGTGAATTAGAGGCTGAGTAACGAGAGTGGAATAACAGCCCTCGACCTCAAGTTCGTTTTCACAGTGTAAATCATTCAGAACCTTAATGATGATGATGATGATGACTACTGTACACTGACCTCAAAGCCAGTGATTGCTATCTGGTGCATGGAGTCATTGACAGACTTAATGATGTCCAGCATGGTGGCTAAAGCCTCCTCCAACTCAGCCATCCCCTCACCGTTACTGCATTTTAACATCTCCTGTTAGACGGGAAAGTGGAAGTGGTTTAGAAAGATCAAGGGCACAAAATACAAACCAAAGAAAGAGAAGAACAGAGGAGCAAATAAACTTTGTGTCAATCCTGATGTAGGATCATAGTTAATGACAAATTCCCTATCTTTAGGACCGCCTTCTTTTGTCAGTCCATATCAGAAATATAACCCTACTGTCTAAGTGACGTGGAACAAAGATCACATGCACTTATCATTATTACTATTATTATTATTAATATTATTACTTATAGGGTCAATTCTTGTATCTCCCTCTTATCAGGACATGCCAATGGCCCAATGAAAAAGCCATCAGATTAATCAAAATGCTACAAAATGCTACAACAGTTATTAAATTAAGCCATTAAACATGGCTTAATCTTTCACCTAACTTTTGTTTAAGAAAATGGCAGATTTTTTGCCATAACAGTTCATATCATTTCTTGGGTTATGCGAATAGTATAATTATTTGGACTGAATTGACTGGATATCAATATTTCTAAAGTCCCAAAGAGGAGGAGAGGAGAAGGGGAGGAGAGAAGATGCAGGTGCAAGGCAGAATTAATAATAAACACAGACTGAGATAACAGGGCTATCACATTGTGGATATCAGCTCATTTTCCAGGAACAGTTCCTCTAGTATTGAATAAACCATCACTCTGGTTGTGTCACAGGTTCCTTTTTCTTTATTTATTTCCCATTCT